AAAACAGACCTTTTTGACCTTTTTTGACCTTGAGAAGGTCAGTAAAGGTCAAATGTCAAATCTAAAGTCAGATTTGAATTTCTGAGAACATGTAGATGATTTTGAAAAAAAAAATTAGTCAATTTGAAGCAAGTTGAAAAAAGACCTTTTTGACCTTTTTTGACCTTGAGAAGGTCATTGAAGGTCAAATGTCAAATCTAAAGTCAGATTTGAATTTCTGAGAACATGTAGATGATTTTGAAAAAAAAATTTAGTCAATTTGAAGCAAGTTGAAAAAAGACCTTTTTGACCTTTTTTGACCTTGAAAAGGTCATTAAAGGTCAAATGTCAAATCTAAAGTCAGATTTGAATTTCTGAGAACATGTAGATGATTTTGAAAAAAAAAATTAGTCAATTTGAAGCAAGTTGAAAAAAGACCTTTTTGACCTTTTTTTTTATCTTGAGAAGGTCATTGAAGGTCAAATGTCAAATCTAAAGTCATATTTGAATTTCTGAGAACATGTAGATGATTTTGAAAAAAAATTTAGTCAATTTGAAGCAAGATGAAAAATACCTTTTTGACCTTTTTTGACATTGAGAAGGTCATTGAAGGTCAAATGTCAAATCTAAAGTCAGATTTGAATTTCTGAGAACATGTAGATGATTTTGAAAAAAAATTTTAGTCAATTTGAAGCAAGTTGAAAAAAGACCTTTTTGACCTTTTTTGACTTTGAGAAGGTCATTGAAGGTCAAATGTCAAATCTTAAGTCAAATCTAAAGTCAGATTTGAATTTCTGAGAACACGTAGATGATTTTGAAAAATTTTTTTAGTCAATTTGAAGCAAGTTGAAAAAATACCTTTTTGACCTTTTTTGACATTGAGAAGGTCATTGAAGGTCAAATGTCAAATCTAAAGTCAGATTTGAATTTCTGAGAACATGTAGATGATTTTGAAAAAAAAATTTAGTCAATTTGAAGCAAGTTGAAAAAAGACCTTTTTGACCTTTTTTGACTTTGAGAAGGTCATTGAAGGTCAAATGTCAAATCTTAAGTCAAATCTAAAGTCAGATTTGAATTTCTGAGAACACGTAGATGATTTTGAAAATTTTTTTTAGTCAATTTGAAGCAAGTTGAAAACAGACCTTTTTGACCTTTTTGACCTTGAGAAGGTCATTGAAGGTCAAATGTCAAATCTTAAGTCAAATCTTAAGTCAGATTTGAATTTCTGGGAACACGTAGATGATTTTGAAAAAAAAATTTAGTCAATTTGAAGCAAGTTGAAAACAGACCTTTTTGACCTTTTTTGACCTTGAGAAGGTCATTGAAGGTCAAATGTCAAATCTAAAGTCAGATTTGAATTTCTGAGAACATGTAGATGATTTTGAAAAAAAAATTTAGTCAATTTGAAGCAAGTTGAAAACAGACCTTTTTGACCTTTTTTGACCTTGAGAAGGTCATTGAAGGTCAAATGTCAAATCTTAAGTCAGATTTGAATTTCTGAGAACACGTAGATGATTTTGAAAAAAAAATTTAGTCAATTTGAAGCAAGTTGAAAACAGACCTTTTTGACCTTTTTTGACCTTGAGAAGGTCATTGAAGGTCAAATGTCAAATTTAAAGTCAGATTTGAAGGTCAAATGTCAAATCTAAAGTCAGATTTGAATTTCTGAGAACATGTAGATGATTTTGAAAAAAAATTTAGTCAATGTGAAGCAAGTTGAAAAAAGACCTTTTTGACCTTGAGAAGGTCATTGAAGGTCAAATGTCAAATCTAAAGTCAGATTTGAACTTCTGAGAAGATGTAGATGATTTAGAAAAAAATTGAAGTCAGTCTAAACAGTATTTGTTAAGTTATAGGAAGTTGTAAGAAATTGTTACAGACGCCAACCGCCGGACGCCGGACGCCAACCACCAACCGCCGTCGCAAAAAAAACGGAGACCATAACAATATGTCACCACTTTTGGTGGTGACATAACAAGTCATTGTTTTCTACAGGTAGCCTCAAAACAGAATTAAGTAAAAGACTGACCATACCAACCACCAACAAGTCATTGTTTTCTACAGGAAGCCTCAAAACAGAATGTCATCTGATCAGTTCTTTAAAGGAATACTGTAACAAATACCTAGTTTGGCATTCATTTAAAAGACACTGATACTATATTTGTGCAAAGGCTAATTATAAATAAAAAATAGATGAAATGTTGAAATGTGACTCTTACAGTAAACATGAAACTTGCCTGATGAAAAATGATAAGTTCTTAGGTTAACAATCGACTAAATTTAATAAAAAATAGAAAACAGAAGCTCCATGGAGTAGCAAATCCCAAAGAACAAAACATGTTTTGTTAAATAGCGGCCATCAAAATTTTCTTCTTGAAGAAGGCTCTTATGTCCATAGGCCATGACCAGGCCATGACCAGGGTGTAATGAAATAATGATGTAATGATAGATAAGGTGTTGTATTTTAAGGTTCATGACAGTTTAAGTGATTTATCAGATCATTGTAAAATCTCTCTGCTTTTGAATATTAGACATAGAACTCATCCAGTTTCATGTTCACTAACAACTGAAAAACGTGATACCATGAGATTTATATGGAATCCTGCAAACGTAACGACTTTTCAAAATATTCTCCAATCTAGCGCAGTTAAGGAAAACTTAAAAAATATCCATACTGACATGAATAGTTCAAATATTGATGTGAATGAATGTATTGAGCGTATAGAGACTCTGATTTTAGATGCTGCTAAACAATCATTCAAACCCATGTACAATAGAAAGAAACGCAGAAATCAGCGTACTAACTGTGATAAAAAATGGTGTGACAAAAGTTGCGTATCCTTGAAAAAAAGACATACGATGTCTTGGTTCGCGTTTAGTTAAAAGGCCAAATAATTGCGAAATTAGAACTCAGTATTTTATGACACTAAAGAAATATAGAAAACTTTGCAAGAAAAAACAACGTGAACATAAAAATCAAATTTTAACAAAACTGGATGAGTATTCAAACACTGATTCAAAAACATACTGGTCGTTACTTGAACAGCTTAGAAATGAGTCCAGTTCTACAGATTCTAATAATCAGAATAGTAATATTACACCTGATACTTGGTACGATCATTTCTCTAAGCTATTTCAAAGGGTGGAGTCTGATGATCTAGATCATGAACATCTTTTAAGAATATTGGAAGCTGAGCCAGGATTCAATGAATTAAATTATACAATAACAGAAAATGAAATATTTGAAGCGGTTAAAATGTTAAAAAACAACAAAAGTCCTGGTTTAAATGGTATATCCTATGAAATGCTAACGGCTTCTTATTTTGCGATAGGGAACTTACTCTGCACATTATTCAATAAAATATTCATCAGCGATTCTTACCCAGATAGATGGAATTTGTCAGTAGTAATTCCAATATTCAAAAAAGGTGATAGGTCTGATCCTAGCAACTATAGGGGTATATTTATATCTGATTCAACATCTGAATTACTTTCAATAGTACTTTATAAACGTTTGTATAAATTTGTTGATAGGAAAATCCTCAGTGACAACCAAGGCGGTTTTGTTAAGAAAGCACGTACCACTGATCATATTTTTATCCTCAAATCGTTAATAGACAAGTTTAAGTCAGATGACAAAAATAAAAGTTTATATGATTGTATGTTTTGTTGATCTGCGCAAAGCATTTGATAGTATATGGCACAATGGCCTATTTCATTAGTTACAAACATATGGAATCAAGGGTTACTTCTACGATATTATAAAATCAATGTTTAAGGATCAACACGTGTGCATTAAGACTGAATAATTGTGGTGATTACTCAATTAAGTTTAAATGTGAAAAAGGTGTGAAACAAGGCGACCCTTTAAGTCCCTTAATTTTTAATCTATACATTGATCATATTGTTAACGAGCTTAGTCTGAAAACTGATCCATTACTATATTCAGAAAAGATAGGTTCATTACTTTTTGCTGATTTTGTTTGTTTATTTTATCCACCATTTCTGATGTGTTATACATTGATTTGATGACCTAGTTATAATTGCTTCCTCGAAAGAAGACATGCAAGTCAAGTTAGACAAACTCAAGAAATACTGCAAACGGTGGTATCTCTCTATTAACATCAAGATAACAAAAATCATGAAGATAACTAAAACACGGAAAATAAGTAATGAATCTTTTCATATTGGAAATATACTAATTGAGAATGTTAATAAATACATTTATCTGGGAATGGAAATCAGTTCCAATGCGTCTTTAATACCAGTGGCCCAGTTTATAAAACAAAAGGTGGATAAAGCAAAGTTTAAATTGTTCTCTTTACTGTCTAATGCTGATCTAATGCCAAAATTGGCAATTAAAATATTTGACCAAATTTTCAAACCAATATGTATGTATGGAGCAGAAATATGGGGAACAGGCTATCTTTATAATAGAACTATCAAAACTTATCCTAAATGGGCACTAGAAAATTTGTATTACAAGATCAAAATTGAGTCAACCCATATGTCGTTCCTAAAATTTGTGTTGGGTGTACATAAGAAAGCTAGTAACTTGGGAATTAAAGGCGAATTGAATTGTACATTTGCCCTTAAAGGGATTATTGGGACAATAAATAAATATCTATGGATAGGTATCGGCATATTAAATTTGAACCAAATCTGTCCATTGGTATTTGAGTTATCTACGAAAAATGGCAGCCATTTTGAAATTCAGCTGCCATCTTGAAAATTATTTCTCAAGAAAGCTCATGTGTCCCTAGGCATCAAGATATAAAGTTATCAACGATTACGCTTCTTTTACAAAAAATGGCAGCCATTTAGAAATTCAGTGGCTATCTTAAAAATCTCTTCTTTATCAAAGGTATTTTGTCCACAGGCATCAGTATTTAAAATCTGAACCAAATCAACCTACTAGTCTACATCACAGACAATCAATACATGGGTTTTGTATTTTTAAAGAACATTTGCAATAAAAATGGCCATTCTGTTACATATTCATTACTTATACAAATACATACCTCCAGTTAAAATCAATATGACAAGGTCAGCAGCAGCATTGACAAGTGCATCACTGTCTTCGTCATCTTTATCAATATTGGACTCAATTATTTTCATCAACTTTTCACCCAAAGTGGTCTTCGTCAACTGAACTTTTATTTTGTCTGAAATAATAAAAGATATAAAAGCTGAAAAATAATTTACTTTATGTTGAGATAATAAAAAATAAAGATAGTTAGATCAATTTTTGGTGTCTAAGAAAATCTTGCAAGAAGAATTTGAAGCAATCTCACTCATCTCAGAAAGTTTGAGACCAATCATGCCAATTAAGGAATAAATAATGATAGGCCATTCAATATGGTGAAATTCAGCACGAGTTGGACAGAATGTTGTACAAAGCACGAACCGAAGGTGAGTGCATTTGTACTAACATTCTGTCCAACGAGTGCTAAATTTCACCATAATGAATGGCCTATCATTATTTATTTCGATTCAAACATAAAAATTAGTAAAAGCCGTGTCTGTGGAACGGGCATGAAGGAAGAATACGCACGCTGTCAAGATTCTGAAGTCGGCCGGAAAAATTTTAGAATTTGTTTGGGCTGTTCTATTTTACTCCCCGTTTTAGATTATTATATTATATAGTCAGCCATAGTTAAATAGTTACAGTAGTTACGGAGGGAGTAAAAAAGAACAGCTATCCCCGGACAGAGCCCCAGATGTGCAGCTGAGATGTGACGTCACTCAAAACAATGCAAATTGCAGATTGAATAGAGCATGGTCGTGCATCTATGGAGAATTAGAGAACGTTCTATATTGGCTATGCTGCATTCTGATTGGTTGAGAAATTCGAATAGAGCACGGTCATGTTTGAATAATGAATAATGAATGAGTTATTACACTTTAAAATCAGTAACATTCTTTTGGCCCACCCTGTATAATATGATATCTCATGACTTTAATAAACAGCAGAGGAAAAATTGTTCATTCAATGATCTTGACGTAGGGTTTCACTTCTCAGAAAATGTAATATTATTAATTGTAATAAAATCTATATTCAACCCCTCCCTTATATTTAATATTATTAATAATATATTTGATATGTGGATCAAGATATCATATTTTAGCAAAAAATCCCCAAACCATCGAATATCACTTCTCAAACCATCGAATATCACTTCTCAAAAAGTGATATTCTATGGTTTCAAAAGTGATATTCGATGGTTTAGATTTTTTCAATAATTTTTTGTCAATTTTTTTTTCTCAAAATTATTTTTCAAGATTTTCTTAAATTTTTTTTTAGATTTCTTCCTTCAAATTTTTTTTATCAAAAAATTTTTTCGAAATCCTTTTTAAAACTTTTTTTAAATTTTTTTTTTCGCTGGGTTAAGATTTCCATGTAAAATTACATCTAGCAATGTGGTATTGAAAAGAGTTTATCAACTTTGAAAATTTAATTTTCTCTGAAAATGTGACTTCTAGGTCGGGAAGATTCCCTATAGACCCCATGTTGAAAAATCACAAAAATGTTTATAAATTTTCTGTGTTGGGCAGATAATATTTCCTTTTACTGGACACATTTTAATTTGTATAACTATCAGATAAATAAGGGTGATATCAAAAGTGAACCAGTAAAACTGATGAATATTTAGTTCCATATGGGACCAGGTGCTGTAGAGAGCACATGATGAACAACCTTTTAGATTGTGAAATGTTTATTGTAACTAGAGGGTATAGATATGGAATATTGTTTAATTTTGACATATGTGGCCACATACACATAACCTTTTTAACACTATGGAAGGGCTAATTCAACATGTTTTTGAAAGAATGCAGGGGTTTCACTAGAATTTCTCACTATAGGCTAAATAAATGAAAATAACAGGCAAAATTAATGGAAATCATAAAGGATAGGTATCGATATGGTGAACTGAATTCAACAATGTTTTTTCTCTTAAACCAATTATTGAAAATATTCTGTAAAAAGACACGGTCCTTTATGTAATGTTGACTGATTGGCAACAATTTAATGCAAAAATTATTTATATATATTTTTTATATCTGTTTTTGTTAACAATTTTTGTTTTTTAGTGCAATTGTTTTTTGTTCCTTTCTACCAATTCTTGAGAATGAAGTAAAATGTCTTTCCGAACCTTGATGAAACAAAATAGCATATACATTCTGAAGCTATTTTAGCTTGTTTAACATGCAATGCAGTTGGATGCAGGCTGTACAAAACAAACCATTATGGCCATGAATTACCCCATTTTGTTATGTCATGATTGATTTTGAATATTTTATCATCCCTATGTGGTATTCATGCCACATTCATTCCACAGGGCCCTCTACATAGGTTCCATCAAGTGCTACATGTACACAATTCCTCGTCCTCTTAACTCAAGATTGTGAGACAAGGCTGAATCCATTCTCTGACATGATAGCAAGATGCAGTTGCATGGGTTGTTTTATTTCGTAAATGTCAATAAACCTGCTTTCTCTATAGAAATAAGTAGAATAGAAATAAATAAGTCACATGTGAGCAGGTCTGGACAATATGGAGCATTGGCCAAGGGCTCAATTTTGAGGTCCAGGGATATTGTTTTCAGAACATTTTGAGATCTGTGGGCATGTGCATTGTCCATATGGAGTAGGGTGTTCCCTTCTCTAACCAACCCCTTCTTCCACAATGCTTTCTCAAATTGACCTGCAAACCCCTTCCATCCAACACTCTGACATCACAATACTTGTTGCATATAAAAAGTTCAAATCTAACTGAAATTTGCCAAGCTGGCTAAAAACTGAATATGTGACGTAAATGTCGGTCCCGGGGTACCCGTACCTCCTTCACGGAAATAAGGATATATCAACATGTATTATTTATTTTGTCTTCAAACCTAAGAATTGATAGATAATTGGATGATGTATCACTGGTAGGAAAATCAAAGGGATTGGTCTATAAAAAGTATCTGTGTAAAATAGCGTCCATTACTTATTGATCACCCCTCGTACAAAGGAAATTTTGGTTGATTTAACAAAAAGTATGCAAAAACTTAAAACAACCCCCCCCCCCCAAAATAGATAAAAATTAAGATAAACCTTTTATTTCATTAACAAGATACTTTTTTGAAATCAACCAAACTTTCCTTTGTACAATTACAAAATTGAGAGACCTAAACATGTTGTGTTTATGTCGTTTTGTTCCAATGAGGTTTGGATAGATGTTTCATTTCACTCCGAACATATGATATCAAGAACAAAAGAAGTGTCTGATGTGTTTTCTAAAACAACATAGAGAAAAGTATATATATATATAATTCAAATTATAATGTTCCCATCCAAAGGATGGCAATTAAATTGACGATGTGTAAAATTTTCAGAATATTTTGATAACTCGTTTAAGAGAAACGTGTGTTCAGAAAGTTCACCATATCGATACTACTCCTTTAACATGGAGAGCTCTGCTTATCAAAATGGCATAAAAGTTATTATTCATACTATCCAAAGTCACATTATTAAACCATTGCTAGCCTAGCACCAGGCGAAATGACATTTCTTTTTTTGCAGATATTGCCATTGATGCTCTTCCAAAAATAATGTTTTTTATATTTTCCTTCTGTATTTCATATATTAAAGAAAAAACATTTTAATATATTCACACTGGTTTATGTTAATATATTAACTAATGATGCCATTTTGTAAAAGTCTCCAATGACATTTAACTGACCATGTCAACGTCAAAGGTCAAAATTATCGAAAATTATATTTTTATGAACCACAACTGATTTCTCATCAATATGATATGCAATATTATGAGATATCTGCTTGGGTTAAAAAGCCCCCTTAACGACACCCATCCTTTGAAATAAGATGAGACACACGCATACATTATATAAAGAGAAATCTAGTTACACAACTAATATGAGTAATCAACTTATGAGATAGACTAACATATACGTAGCAAATTCAATTGGAACTTAAAAATTACAAGAAGCGATATTTTGTGAGTATAATCACTTTACTCAACTGACTTTGCCTCAGACATTGAACCATTTACAAAAATATTTCAAAGTATGAAATTTGTCAATATCTGCAAACTATTCAAAATTTATTTATAACATTAGAAAAACACATAAAATGTATAATTTAAATACAATGTATTTTAAAAACTGGTTTTAATGAAGTATGTATGACCATGTTTCATAAACACAAATAGTTTTTTCAAGTTTGTTTATCATGTTTAAATCCTAAGACCTTGATTCTATGATTTATGGCAAATATTTGACAATAGATTTTATTCTGCCTATTGCCAAAGACCTCAATCGCTCAATCAGAAAAATAATTGGTCATATATTGCAGTTATAAAAATAGAATCTCGGTCTTATTGTTTCACATTGTTATAAACCCATATAGGACTTGTCACTTTTTTATAAAAATGGGAGACACTTTAGCAAATAAAATTAAATAAATAAAAATAGAAATAGTTGAAGCCATAATTATTTTGGTTTCTATTGGTGAACCTTTTAATATCACAATAATCTCGAGATTAGTATTCATTATTGATACAAGAAACCCCTTTCCAAATTGACAAGTTCTCTAAAATGCAGTTGTAAAAGATATATTACGAATCTTATGTATTACATTTGAAACTGCTCCCCACGCAGGACAAAAGATTGAAACATTGAGTTTTATAAACAAGGCACAGGACGTGAACGAGATCACACCATCAAATAGGCAGACACTATGAACCAGGAAAACTTTTCTCCTATTATGTTTACAAATTTCAAGAACAAGAAACAAGATTTTTCAAAAAACCTTCAAAATGGCCACCAGAAAACAAGATGGCTGCCCAAAAGTTAATCAGCTCTAGTACTTGATATCCTCTATCATTTGTGTAAATTGAAGGAAATCCGATGAGCGGTTTTCCTGAAATAGCGATGACAAGATTTTTCGAAAAACCTTCAAAATGGCCACCAGAAAACAAGATGGCCGCCCAAAAGTTAATCAGCTCTAGTACTTGATATCCTCTATCATGTGTGTAAATTTGAAGGAAATCTGATGAGTGGATTTTCTGAAATGGCGATGTCAAGATTTTTCGAAAAATCTTCAAAATGGCTGCCAGAAAACAAGATGGCCACCCAAAAGTTAATCAGCTCTAGTACTTGATATCCTCTATCATTTGTGTAAATTTGAAGGAAATCCGATGAGCGGTTTTCCTGAAATGGCGATGACAAGATTTTTCGAAAAACCTTCAAAATGGCCGCCAGAAAACAAGATGGCCACCCAAAAGTTAATCAGCTCTAGTACTTCATATGCTCTATCATCTCTGCGAATTTGGAGAAAATCTGATGAGCAGTTTTCCTTAAACGGCGATGACAAAAAGCGGGACGATCACGACCACGACCACGATCACGACCACAACCACAATCACGATCACGACCACGACCAGTATGACGACTATATCCCACCGATGGTGTGATAAAAAAATTAATAAAAAGACCCAATACATCCAGATCTCATTAACACATCCAGAATTACACTGAAACAATATCATACCATTAAAAAGTTAAATAAAAAGAAATGGTGCATTTTAGTGTGATACTGGCGGTGTCATTTTCAATGGCTTTTACTCCTAGCATTATTGGACTTCAAATAGAGGTGAAGGTTACCCAAAAATGATATACCCATTACATGGAGTTGGTAACATTCTTCGTTATAACAAACATATGAGTTAAAAAATAATTTGTGTAGTTTTCTTGTGTTTTATGAAAAATAACATGCTCCCAATTTGAAAAAAAATTTGAATAGACCATTTCTACTTGCATCTAGTCTATTAAGCCTATGATTAGAAAATCATTTCACTTGCACACTTCAAACGTCATCCATTAATCTAAGATGCTACCAAGAGGTAATGTATATATGAGCCAGGCCACAGGAAAAGGGGTCTTATCACAGATTTTTTCAATATTCTGATTTTTTTGTTTATCTTATAAGCACAAAGAAACCTTTCAAATGAGCCATGACCATGGCTTATATCTTAACAATTTTTCCTTGCATATATAGACCAAAACGTCGGATCTGAATTTAGCACATTTTTCTCTTAATCGTGGGAATTTTTGGCTCTGTAGCACAATTTTAATTTTTGTGATAAAACCGGTTTTCCTATGGCCAGGCTCATATGTCAATTAATTGCAGCTAATATTGTAGCTAACATTATTGAGTTCATACTCTAGTGTCTCATCTGATAAACTGTACTTATTAGATGAAGAAATGAGACAATCATGATGTGTTGTCACATATTGTAAGAAGATCTAAATTGGTAATGGATACTGAAATGATGAGTTTTCAGACAAATGGTGAAGGAACTTACATAGACAAAGCCACCCACTCAAAGTGTCAAGCAGAAGTGAAAATAGAACAATAGAAGCAATATGATACAATATGATACAATATGAGTACAATTCAGACAAAGAAAATGCAGATAATGACCACACAAACTGCACAACTCAGGCAATTTTGAAACATATTAGGCCAAGTTAACATGATATCACTTAAAGGCGCACTTTAGGAATTTTCAACATTTTTGGGCAAAATGAAGACTAACATTCAAATTTCATAGTATGTCCAATGTGTTGATAAGAACCTTATCTTTCATTTGACACCAACAACAGCTCAAATGGACCACATCAAAGCTTACAATAAAGTATCAAAAAAATATTTTCGATCTGTCAAGCTTTATATATCAAGTTTTTATCAATATCATTGAAAGATGGCAGAGTTGTTTGTATTACATGATACATTCATTTTTATAGAAGTGCATGTCTAATGATCTCTGAACTACAAATGCTTTTTTCTATGTGAGTTAGCTTTCTCTTGGTTCAATATTAAAGCAAATCAAACTTAGTGTCATATTTGAGCTAGTATGTGAGTAACACGTTTCTATGATTACTTTTTGATTTTTTCTTCTAAATTTAGTAGTGCAGCTTTAATGAATAATTAATTGATGCTTAAATGAGAAAAGGTTGAATATGTTTTGAAAATATTTTGATCTTACCAGCCCCTTTAATTGCTGTAAATAGAATATAAAAATGAATTGTTCTTTTTAGCAAAATGGTTTCTACAAAGTTGATCATTGGTGTGATGTTCCTCAGCTTGGGATACACAATTGTAGCTACAGATATGGAGGACAAGGTGGGAACCAACACTGATGCATTTCTTTCCATGTCCGATCCATATGAAAACAGCACAGCAACAAGTGCCGACATTTTCAATAACTCAATTAGAGACTTTTTCAATGATGACCACAATATGCACCTGAATGAAAGCAAAAAGACAAATGAAAACAATACGAGTTCTCCTTGCTCCAGTGCAAATACAAATGCAACAGATGGACTAAATGTATCAACAGATGAACTAAATGTATCAACAGATAGACTAAATGTATCAACAGATGGACTAAATATATCGACAGATGGACTAAATATATCGACAGATGGACTAAATATATCGACAGATGGACTAAATGTAACAACAGATGGATTAAATGTATCAACATCTGATGAGATCAATAATATACATACAAAGACAAATGAAACAATTGCAGAAGAACATACAATTGATGATTACTTGGTCTATCTGATATTCAAATGGGCATTTAAAATCACAATGCCTGTGTGTCTAATTATTGGTATCCCTGGAAATATTCTCAATATTATCATCTTATGTAGGTATATTAGTGATAGCACTTCTTCCATGCATATCATCCTCATATCCCTTGCTGTTTCTGATATTATATGTCTAGCAGTAGGCACCCCACGCTTCATTATCTCCTACGCAACAGGATATGACTATGCTGCTAACTCAGATATTGGCTGCAAAATCTACAGGTTTCTCAATTTTGTGTTTTCTGATTTTTCATCTTGGCTTGTCATGCTCATATCTCTGGAAAGGTTAGTTGCAGTCGTCTGGCCTTGTCACGTGAAGTCTTGGTGTAGTCATAAAACGATTAAGATCACAATTGCTGTATTTCTAGTATTTCTCATGGGAATCAATTTCCATGTTTTGCTATCCCATGGTATAGTTTCACAATTAAAGCATGAAGATACACAAACATTTGACTGTATAGTCAAGGAACCTGAATTTGCCCATTACGGATTTGTTATTTTCCCATGGATTGATTTTGCAGTATTTGCTTTGATTCCAAGTTGTGTTGTAATATTATCAAACACAATAATCATTCGAAAGGTCACAATTGCAGCTTTTAAAAGACGCAACACAATGGCAGTTATTTTAGCAGATAAATCTAACCCTGCATCATCAAAACAGCAACCACTGATCAGACGGATGACAATTATGATGTTTTCAATTTGTGGTCTAATGCTTCTTTGTGTTACTCCAACAGTCATTTACGGATTCATGTTCAAGTCTTTGACACAAAATGGAGATCTGAAAAGTTCTGTTATCATAGCTGTTCTGGGTTATTATGGAATTATTGCATTCTACTTCAATTGCACTATAAACTTTTTACTGTACATATGTTGTTCACAGAGGTTTAAGATCGTTTTGAGAAGTTTCTTTTGTGGTGGTACTACAGCTAATGACAGTGTGACAACATCAAAGCTTTAGTATTCTAGAGACTAATATATATTACACTGTTAACTTCAAAACATGTTTGCTGTCGAGTGGCCAATGTTGAAATATTTGTATCTTCAGCTATTTGTGATTTATTTTTTGACTTGTCATATGGTCTTGTGGACTTGGAATGTGATAATGATGGTGTTTCAGGCATTGTTTCTTTGTGAGTTAGCTCATTGCTATCCTTTTGACTGGTGTTTCGTAAAACTGTAAAATCCATGTATGTGAGGCATTAATTAAGGAATAAATAATGATAGGCCATTCAATATGGTGAAATTCAGCACGAGTTGGACAGAATGTTGTACAAAGCACGAACCGAAGGTGAGTGCATTTGTACTAACATTCTGTCCAACGAGTGCTGAATTTCACCATATTGAATGGCCTATCATTATTTATTCCGATTCAAACATAAAAATTAGTAAAAGCCGTGTCTGTGGAACGGGCATGAAGGAAGAATACGCATGCTGTCAAGATTCTGAAGAACAGCTATCCCCGGACAGAGCCCCAGATGTGCAGCTGAGATGTGACGTCACTCAAAACAATGCAAATTGCAGATTGAATAGAGCATGGTCGTGCATCTATGGAGAATTAGAGAACGTTCTATATTGGCTATGCTGCATTCTGATTGGTTGAGAAATTCGAATAGAGCACGGTCATGTTTGAATAGGTCATAAAAACTGCAATATATACTTGTTCATGAAACAACTTATGTTAATATGAAATGATTAATCTGTACAAAATCATTTATCTAAAATAAAAAACTGGGGAATTGTATGAAATAAATAAGGAGTTTTACATTGAATTACAGTACCTGTACTTATTCTATTATATATTCTAGCTGGTTTAGTATAAAATGACCATAAAAGATCACGTGCAGTATGGCAAGTGAATTTAGACAGTCATATCTTTCACCATGAGTACTTTCTGGCCATAAATACAGTGGCTTTTATGAAAACAATATGTTTTCTTTCAAGTGAAGTCCCCATGATAGTAAAATATCAATCCAACTCTCTGAAAAATATGGATTAGGGCCCCACCTTAGCACTTTTTGAAAAATGTTAAGGTTATTTTCTAAAAAGAGGATCTTGTTTTTCCCAATTTAAACATATCAAAAGTCTCCTCTACACTATATTAACAATTTCTGAAAAGGGGATGGGTATTGAAATGAGTTAAAGTTAAAAACCACATATCCCATGTTATTTTCCCATAGGGAAAACTCGTGCTATCCATTGTTTTCAGCATAATTTTGGTCATCGAAAATTGATATTTTCAAAACTAATAAAAATCAGAAAAAGAAGATCCTCTTTTGAGTAAATAGGTTCAATATTTTGAAAAAAATGTTGACATGGTGTCCCTATTCATAATTTTTCAAATTGTTTGATTTATATTTTTATCATCATGGGTACTTCACTTGAAAGAAAACATATTGTTTTAATAAAAACCACTGTATTTATGCCCAGAAAGATATGACCGTCTAAAATCACTTGCCATACTGCACGTGGTCTTTTTACTTCTTAGGCAGAGACAAAAGACAACTGAAGGCTTTCACTCATATCCATCAATTTCAATTAAAAGTGGGAAACACGATGGTTGCCACTTGATAAGTAATATTGAAAAAAATTGCTTCAACTTTCACATTAAACACAATGTTATGGTTAAAGTCCCCGTCTAAAGTTTGAAAATATTTTTTTATCATTCATTTACTATTTGTCAGGACTTAAAAAGTGATTTTAGAGATTTTTGAACAAAAATTTTTTTTTGAAAAAAAGTTGTGAGCATTTCATTTCTCAAATATTCAAATTTCCTGCCATTTTTCAAAAAAAGTTGAAATTTCTTAATCATCAAATATTTCTTAATGAATTTCAAAAAAGATTATATTTTTAACACCAATCCAGAGATTGAACAAAAGACACACTATTTCAATAATAAAATGTCATATTTAATGGGCCACTTCAATGTTTTAGCTTATCAAAAATATTTTGAAACATTAGTGATGTCACTAAGGTAACAAAAACTTTTTGAAAAAAATTGAATTTTTTTTCGATGTCAATCTTTTCTAAATATGCTAGACTTTCATAAAAACCAATGTTGATTGTCTAACCAGGTTAAAAGGAAGAATAAATTATGTTTTAGATATCATTGTACCATTGGTTTCTATGAGAACTAAAATTTTGAAATGCATTTTTCTCAGAACCATTTTCATGCACTGATAAGTTCATTTCTCGCTTGTTTATCAACCGATTTTCTTAATTTTTTCGGCAAAAAACATGGGAGGAGGTATGCTATGCATTGGTATGAATTGTGGCTAATTAGAAGATATGAGTGACCTCTAAAAGTTGGTTTTAAATAAATTCACAAATTTTCGAACAAAAAGTCTATCAAAAACCACTTTTTGAAATTAAATAAAAAAAAAAGTTTCACATATCACACTTTGATAACATTGGGTAAGACTACAATTTAAGCCAAAGTCGTTTAAACTTTACATGGGGCCTTTAAGATTTTTTAACTGATTTTGACTGTTCATCATCTGGATCATGTATAGACATTTTAAAATGGTAACAATAAAGTTGTGTTCAGCACAAATTCAACTGAAATAAAATATATACAACTTCACAAGCATAAATGAAGAGTGACTATAATCCCTTGATTTCCCAGAAAAAACTAATTCAGTTATCAAGATATATCATTCATTCTCTATATCAAGAAAGTAATCAATGTTTTAGAGCACTTCATATTTTTGCAGTAACAACATAATATTACATTTTCAAAGTTGTAACAAAAATATTGTAAACTCGCATTTACACATAACAGTGGAACAACGAACTACATCTTTTTCACTTCATTTTGAGTCCACTGTCCAAATATAGCCTTTCCAAGACATAGAGAATTATTTTACCAGGGGGTTAATCTAGGGTGATAAAAGAGGGAAGCGAAACATTATCATTATACCTAGACACTACAGTATATAATTTTCTTTAACTCATTTTTATTGGTCAAAAGCGAATTAAAATCAGTATAATGGAATGTTGAAATTACACACCTTGAGCATTCATATATAAGGAAGAATATTACGTTCTAGTCTAAACAAGTTCAAGATTTCAAGACAAACTCCGGTTGGAAATTCGAAAACTTTAGTTACATATTTTGTAAGTATAATTTTAAGCTTTTTATGACTCAGTCATATTTGATCAATGGCAGCCATACAGCAGCCGCAGGTTTACAAATTCAAGAGAAATGCGCAGCATAAAATATAGGGATTTTTTCTTTAAAGAGGATCTTCCAAGGCAGAATGGCATTGAAAGCCATAGGATTGGTAGGGATATGGTGAATTCTAAATTGAACACATTTTTCTCTTAAACCATTCTGAAAAATGTACACATTGTCAATGAAATGGTTATCTTTTGAATGGTAACACTTTTATTTCAAAATGTTGATCTACTTTTTTATATATTGTTTTAGAAAACACATCAAAAAACTGTATTTTGTTCTTGGTACCATGTGTTTGGAATTAAATAAAACAGCTATCCGAACCTCCTTGGAACAAAATGACATAAACACAATGTGTTTGGTTTCTCAATATCATAGTACCCCGGACAGGTTGAATGATGCAGTCGTGTTTTTACTCTACATTTGCAATGGAACAACCATTCTTATTAAAATTTGGGGATTGGATTTTCAGCTGCCTAAAGTCTTTCCAGATATATTTGTTGCCATATTAATAATTATGGCTGATTATTGTTATTCACTTTCGTCATATTGAGTATTATTACAGTGCATTAGACCAATAAAAAAACGTGTTGCTCTGGGTCTCATTTTGTGAAGCGTTCCCTAGATTAAGCCCAGATAGAGGAGGTCAATCTTCTTGTCAACAGACATGAGGTCAACCAGATCGAACTGTTCAATACTGTCCAAAATGAGGTTAAACATTACGAATCTCGAACTTCAAGTATTTTGGGCATTAGATCCTTCAAAGATGTTAATATAGCTGTGTCACATTCTATCATGAAATTGTTAGGGAAACCTGACATATTCAAAGCATGGTACAATTTACATGCCACATGGTTGCATGCTGAGTGACAGCGGTAGAAAAACCCAGTGGCAAAAAAGGTGCATTATCAGAGGAAACGTGACCCAGAGTGACATGTTATTCATTGGCCTAATGTACTGTAATAATATCACTGAATATGACAAAAATGAATAACAATAATCAGTCATAATTAATATGGCATCAAATACATCTAGAAAGACTTTAGGCGGACAAAAAATTCAATAGCTTGACAATCTTTGAAATGACGTTAAAAGTTCAAGCAAAAACCTGTATTTTATTGATAGTGGCGTCTTTTTGAAAAAGAGCCTATTAAAATCATAATATTAGGAATTTTGTTAAAATATTTTTTTCCATGTTGGAAATTGTCTCCAGAATAAAATATGAAAATTTCAATAAGAATGGTTGTTCTTTTGGAAATATAGAGTAAAAACACGACTGCATCATCCAACCTGTCCGGGGTACTAATCATACAAAGAAAAATTTTGGATCATTTAAAATAATCATCTGATTAATAAAACAAAAGGTTAACTCTAATTCTATCTATTTTAGGAGATGTTTTGGGAGATGTTATTTTATCTTTCAGATATTTCTTTAATGAACCAAACTTTACTATGTATGATTACGATATTGAGACATCTAAGTACTGTACACTGTATAAATGAAAATGCCATTTTATTCCAACAAAATTTTCAAGAATTGGTAGAAAAGAGCAAAAGACAATTGTCTACTAAAACAATTATAGAAAATGTATATAAATAATTTTCAGACTAAATTGCTGTCAATCAGTGACCATTACATACAGGATGTATTTTTATTGATTTAATATAAGAGAAAAACAATAGTCCAATAACGTCAATTTCAAAAGCCCAAGGTCCAATATTTCACTATTTTGCCTGCAGAAATGACGTTATTAGTATCATTACCACCATTTATGCCTGGGGCTGAAATAGCAAGAACGGACTGCCACTGAATGGAAATTATATGCGCTTAAATGATATCTAATTTCCTGGGGTACATTGCCCGGCTGTTAATCCAATATTGGCCCGCCACTATGACATCACATATTGCTCAGGTCAATAAAGTAAAATAAAAGCCTTCTAAACTAGCACTAATACCCCTAGAACAGGTCCGGCAAGGTGGGAATAAGTTGAATTTAGTTCCCCATTACTGCTACCAATCCTTTGGAAAATATCAAATTTCGATGACCAAAATTAGGCTGAAAACAATGGACCGGAAAAATAACAGGAGACCTGTCATCTTTATCACATTTTAATGCCTTTCTCCCTTTAAGAAGTTACTAACATTGTGCAGAAGAAACTTTTGATATGGCAAAAATGAGAAATGGATGTTTCTTTTTGTAAAATAAGTCTGATAAGGGCTTGTTATTCCCTATGATATTATTTATAGATTTTTACTCAAATATGAAACTTATCAGCTTATAGATTTCATTAGTTTCACTAGAATTTAACAATGACCTTTGGTGCATAACAGTATTATATTTGAATGCAGTTATATGATATAGCTTGCTCTGATTGGCTGGAATTGAACACGCCTTGCCTAGCTATGTGTGAATGTCCACCTATGAGCAGACTTAATGTTAGACTTTAAAAACATTAATAAACAAGAATTCCATGCTGTCATTTTTTAAACATGATCCAACATTCTAGCGACATTTAAATAAAATTTAAAGTAAATATTATGGAATCTGATATCTGTATTGCCTGACTCAGAAATAACATATCTGGAACATTCATTAGTCAAGTAGGTATTAAAGATCATATGTCAAGTTACCATTAACTTTTAGAGATAATAGATAATAGCTGTGAGATTGTATTACTAATCACAATAACTCCAACATTTTAAAATTCATTATTTCAAAACTAGAATCAGACATATACAGGATGACAAAATTGTTGTTAATATCCATGATTTCCATGAGATGTGTTCTTTTATGAATGCAACACAAAGCATTCTGAGAAAGATCTACCGAAACGAAGATGATTCTTCTGCTTTGAATGGGGTATTTTATTCTTCCCAATACATTTAACACCAGGGTAAGAACTCTTTTGTCCACCTTAACATTTACCCAGAATGTGCCAAAACTAATCAGTTCTAAACTTTTGTAGGTAGAAACATCCCTGAAAATTTCAGATGAATTCCTCAAACAGTTTGGTTGGAGACCTGTAGACAAGATTTATCGGGATGCCCACCTGCCCGCCCACCATTTACCAAGAATGCCCCAAAACTAATCATTCCAAACTTTTGTACCGTATTCTCTGTAATTAGCGCCCAGGGCGTTTAGAAAATTGAAAATACATTATTTAGACCATTCTAATAAGCGCCCATGTATGAAAGAAATCAGAAATCCCGAGGAATTTCATGTATGGCAATTTTTCTTGACAAGAATGCATTTTCTTCAACATATTTTTATAATAATATGACAAGTGCTGTTATTGGAGAGAATATGGTAAAGATCGCTTAGACAATATTGACAGTGGTTGAAGACCCGTCTATGTCTAATTTATTTCCGGCACGCCCACTTTGTCATTATCGCCGATTACCTTCAATATTTCCACTAGAGACTGCTGGATATCGATCTAAAGTTATACATTATTTCTAATTTGATGAGAGATCATCATTATTCGTGCAAAAGTCGTGTAAAAGTCGAGAAACATTAAAAAGAAACCAAGTTCACGACCTTGACATGCGCAGAACATCTGCGCAGTAGCTTTTGAAATTTCTGAATGCCGATAAAGAACAATTCCTTCATTCATTATGGACTATTTGGAGACAATATTAGCATGGTATGGTGTGGGAAGCACCCATCGATAGATATGTATCGAGAGGATGCATAGAATTACAAAATGCGTCGTGTTTACAGCAGTTTTAGGGTAAGTACTCTATTATCGCCCGCTCCTGGATTTTGAGAAATATTTTTTCCTGATATATTCTTCAATTCTTGTTGATTCCTCGATGTTTCTTGAACTTTGTGAAGCGGGGTGGGCGCTTATTAGAGAGTGGGCGGTAATTACAGAGAATACGGTAGGTAAAAACATCCATGCCAGTGCGGCAAACTGATCACAATATAGCACCCAAAGAGTGTGATAAAAACATAAAATGGATTTTTCATAATGGAAGTCTGGAGTATATCTAAGAAAAGTAGTCTAAAATATTCAAATTACATAGACCCAGCATATCAAGATGAGAACACAGTACAAATCAACCTCATAACTAGTACTAAAATTCTGTTATTTTCAGCGAAATGTCCTCTACAAAGTTCATCTTGATTGCGGTGTCCTTCATAATGCGATACACCACAGTAGCCAAAGATATTGACGACACCAACGAGAACAACACGAATGCACTTCATACGAGATCTGATACTAATGAAATCAGCACAGCAATGGGAATCTATATGAACATTATCACAGAACAGAGTCCAACAACAACAGATATGAAAGATGATGATGCAAGATATACAACACATAAAGATATTGAGGACATCATCGAGAGCAACACTGATGAATTTCCTTATGAAAACAGCACAGCAACAAGTACCAATACAAGCAGTAACATAGAACATTTCAATGTTACAACTGATATGAAGGATGATGGCATAGAGCCTATAAATGACACAATCAAAATAACTGACAATGACAACCAAAATGAACATCTGAATGGTGATGAAAAAGATTCAAACAAACTAACCAATGAAAATAATGTGAGTTCTCCTTATCCTGGAGCAAATACAAATGCAACAGCTGGACTAAATGAATCAACATCCAATGAAATAGAATCTACAAAGAAAAATGACACTGTTGCACAAGAACATACAATTGATGATTATTTGGTCTATGTGATATTTAAATGGGTATTTAAGATAACAATGCCTTTATGCTTAATTATTGGTATCCCGGGCAATATTCTCAACATTATAATCTTGTGTCAGAATCTATTTAGTGAAAGCTCTGCTTCGATAGACAGCATCCTCCTGGCCCTTGCTTTTTCTGATATGATATGTCTGGCAATAGGCACCCCACGATACATCATCTCCTATGTAGCAGGATATGACTTCACAGCTCATTCGGATATTGGCTGTAAACTCTTCAAGTTTCTCAATTTTGTGTTTTCTGATTTTTCATCTTGGCTTGTCATGCTCATATCTCTGGAAAGGTTGGTTGCAGTTGTTTGGCCTTGTCACGTGAAGTCTTGGTGTAGTCACAAAAAGATAAAGATCACAATTGCTGCTTTTCTAGTATTTCTCATTGGAATTAACTTCCATTTTTTATTAGGCCACGGTACTGTTCAACAAGTAAGTTACACAAACACGCAGATCTTTGGTTGTTCAGTTAAGGAACTGGAATTCATGTATTATCATGCGGTTATTTATCCCTAGATTGATTTTACAGTTTTTGCTCTGATTCCAATTTCTGTTGTGGTATTTTCAAACATGTGCATCATTCGAAAGGTTACCATTGCAGCTTATCAAAGACGCAACAAAATGGCGGCAAATTTGGCCAACACATCCAACATGACAGTTACAAAGAAAAAGCCTGTTATCAAACGTGTGACAATTATGATGTTTTTAATTTGCGGTTTTATGCTTCTTGGAGTCATACCATCTGTCATTTATGAAATTATGTTTGCATCTTTGAAACAAAAAGGTGATCTTAAAAGTTCAGTTATTCTGGCTGTAATTGCATATTATGCAATTGTTTCATTTTACTTCAATTGCACTATAAACTTTTTGCTGTACATATGCTGTTCACAGAAGTTTAAGTTAGCACTGACAAGTTTCTTTTCTAGACGTACTACAAATAGTCTTGAAGGATAAGACATCAATGTTAATGTGTTCTTGAGACCAGGATGTGAACTCATTAATTGGAAATGTGTTCTACAATTGCACAGTTGAAAAGAACAATTGGATCAGTCCCTGCTCTGTGTGTAGCCACCAGATTGTATTGTTCTTTCAACAGAATATATTGCTCTTTTAACAGAATGTATTGTTCTTTCAAAAGAATGTATTGCTCTTTTGACAGAATGTATTCTTTCAACATAATGTGTTGTTCTTTCAACAGAATGTATTGTTCTTTTAACAGAATGTTTTGTTCTTTTAACAGAATGTATTGTCTTTTAAGAGAATGTATTCTTTCAACAGAATGTATTGCTCTTTTAACAGAATGTATTGTTCTTTCAACAGAATGTATTGTTCTTTCAACATAATGTATTGTTCTTTCAACAGAATGTATTGTTCTTTCTAACAGAATGTATTGTTCTTTCAACAGAATGTATTCTTTCAACAGAATGTATTGTTCTTTCTAACAGATTGTATTGTTCTTTCAACAGAATGTATTCTTTCAACAGATGTATTGTTCTTTCTAACAGAATGTATTGTTCTTCTAACAGAATGTATTCTTTCAACAGAATGTATTGTTCTTTCAACAGAATGTAATGTTCTTTCAACAGAATGTATTGCTCTTTAAACAGAATGTATTCTTTCAACAGAATGTGGTTTTCTTTCTAACAGTATAGCAGAACTTCCACAAATAGAATTATATCTTGTATATGTTATGATGTGATGTACTTAATAAACGCAAAAAATTATTTGAAAAATCTATTTGTTTGTTGAATATCTTGTATCAATGGCACAGGCTAGAGAAATTAATTCACATTTGATCTGTGGTAACCATATGGCGGCCATAGCTTTCGAAAATTGAGAGAAATATGCAGCATAAAATATAGGGATAACCAGTACGATGTAGATTTTCTTCATCAATTTTGTGAGCAAATGTGACTAAGTAAAGTACAATGAGCAATTGTGTTAGTATGTATCCTTTATAATAGAATAAAATTATACTACAAAGTTCCAGTCACTAACTCAAGAAGGGTTCTTCCCTAGAACCCAGCTTAATCTTGTAATTCATGTTATTGTTTTGTTCCAAATTTAATCGTACATATATAAAAGCAAAATCAGTAGAAGGAAGCACAAACAATTTCAGTGAGATCCATCATTTAAGTTTCCCCCTAACACATTTTTGGACGCCCATTCACTACCATGTTAATAATTGTCTGAAAATTGAAGAATGTGTCATTTTCATCATGTTTGAGACCCATGGACCAAAGGCATTATGGTGATTTGCATCAAATTCATTTAAAATGTTGTTTAATATATTTTTAATGCATGCTTAAACAAAGTAGATGGTACTTTGCCTCAATTCTGAGATAATAATTGTTAAGCATTGATTTTTAAGAATGTGCTATATATTTGTAATGCTTACCTGAGTCAGTTTTTAGGAAGCTTCTGACATTGATAGAATGAATTTTAGAGCATCTACGATTCTCAAAATTACAGTCAAAAGCTAAAAGAGATAGGGTCTCTATCACAAAATTGAAGAAGGATTTCATTCACTTGATATATGGATCTTTTAATATTCGCCATAGAGTGGTTGCATTATTTATATTTCACCCACAATTTTTTTTGTTTTTGCCTGTATAATTATATGACCTGTGATTGGCATGTTTAACCCTTTAGCAGCTAAGAATTAGAAGCTACCTGCCCAACTACAGAGTAACTTCAGGCAGGGGCGTTGTAACTTTATATTTCACATAACAACCCTCATAAAAAATTGGTGTATGATGTGTTAAAACAACTGAATGGCATTATGACAAAGAATATCCATTTTCATTAATTTCACTTGAAAAAGCAGATAAGGGATGTTGTCTAATCATCAATTTGTGGAATAACAAAGTTAGTTTTGTTATGGTGAGTGGGTAACTGATTGTTTTATAAGCGAAGTGTTGATTTTTTAATATTAATGTGAAATTCAAATCAGCATTTTAAAATTTTGTTAAATGAGGGGAGGCGTGGGGGGCAAAACCATAACAAAATTAATTTAGTTTTTCCCCAATCGTTGACAATTGGACATAATCCGTAAAAGATATACAAACAGTGAAAAATTCTGTTTTAAAACTTTTCTAACATATGATGTGCCCAATATGTCATTTATATGACATGATTATTGAGTCAATAAAAGCCATATATTATAGAGTATAAATCATGACAGCATTATCTAACAGTGTAGGTAGACAAGTTATTATTCCTTGGCTATTAAACAAAACATTAGATAGGATATTCTGCTCCATAATGAAGTCTTTAAGAGCATGTCATTTTACATTAGATAAAATTTTGAATGGATTGTCTGTTTAAACTTGATTAAATAACACTAAATGCAAATTAAGTACATATTTCTGGCACTTTTGGTATATAATTGCGATTGATATGAAGTATGATGGATTTATCCCCAAAATAGATTCGTGGGTATGAAGAAGAACATCTTAGGTAGAAGTCAAGATATGTTAGTTTGTAAAATATAGAATATTCTTACCATTTTGCTCCATTCTATCGAATGTCGCATCCCATGTTCTTACAAAACACGACTAAAGAGTTTAAAAAAACACGACCGGGCCGATTTGCACTGTTAACTCTTGGTCACCGTGTAGTATGTTACATTAAGGTAATCATACTGCAATTTAAAAAAGCGTTAACATTTGTCCCTAAATGTTTATGATTGAATATCTTTTTTCATTTTTGTTTTTTTCATCATTAATGATGTCTCCAACATTAGGCTGTCGGTAAAATTTGAGAAATATTACATAAAATTTGATATTATTAGGTTTCATCGGCAGTCTGTAGTTATTGGTAATAAATGTCTATCAGAAAGGTCAGTTAATGTTATGCGTATACTTTGATAATTAAAAAATGATTTGATTTATGTAAATAGGCCAATAAAAGATGATTATCCCACATTTCACATTTGTTGATTATTTGAGCTAACCATGACCTTTTATTAAAAATAATAAACATCACTTTTTATCAAAAATCAAAGTGGCCACTGAGTAATTTACCTAACTTGCCAAAACCTATTAAAATCTTGGCACTTAAGTCTGCTCTTGCATCTATAAGAATTTCAAGTAACCGGTTCTCTTGGAATTTTAATGACAAGCTTTATGTGGCATCCACCACCTGCCCAGAGAGAAAGACTTATGCATGCTCATCAGCACGAGATAACTTGAAAAGTGCAATAATAAATTTGCAAATATTCTTGCTACTTTTGTTTTGTATCCCATTTGAAGTTGAGTGCAAATGTGAGAGGCAAAACATTTTAAAATGACCATATGGTCCAAATTATATAAAATGACTCAATCAGACGAGGAAACTTTCTGTGGAATATGTGAAATCGTTTTCTCTAGAAATAATATGTAAGTGTAATGCTTTTTTACAAGCTATAAAATATTTTATTCTCATCTTTTTGTTTCTTTCATATCTACAATTTAAAGATGATGATTTATTTGTTTCGTTTTGGTAACAATATTTTTTCAACGTTTTTCAATGTATGTTATAAATAGGTCATCATGACCTGTATAAATTTATAAAAAATCATTTTCTAATTGTTTAAAAATTAAATTATGAGAGTTGTTACAAAACTTCAATTCTGTTTCTAAGAACAATTTAAGATGAACATTATCCACATCATTCAAACTAAAAATAACTTTTACAGTTCAAGATTTTGATTGACAGCTCTATATTTGGAAGTGAAATTGATGGCCTGTGTTATAACTCCAAGGTCAAGCTGATCTGGTCACTCACTAAGACAATTTAGAAACAGATTTTTCATTGAAATCAATCAATTCTATCTTTATATTTCTCAGTCAAAACATATTTATAGAAAAATTGACCTTTCAAACCATTCTTGTTGATCATATATCAGTTTGTTTGAGAGGTTTTAATCATAATTATTTTTGTCTAGAAAAAGATTTTTGCATAATTTTATAGCCCTGTTTTGTCAAATAATTTGTGAGGGAAAACAATTTCACTATCTTCACAAGTGCAAGGTTTCATTGGATTTTTTTTATGGAAATCAGTTATACTATGCCAGATGAGAATGGCATTGATTCAAAGTTTAGAAAACAAAAGGTAATGAATATCAGAACTCAAAATGACACAATATCACCTGTTCAATATACCTATTTTAACTTTTAGGTAGACAACTCATTTCACAGACTCCATCCTTTTACAAGTGACTTTTGAGCTTCAAAACTCTTTCCATTTCTTAAAAAAAAAAATTGATTTGAAATTGTTATGGGCTAATCCTAATCTTTTTTGTTCATATTTTATAAGGTCTATAAATCGAGTTTTTTCTCTATGGTTAAGATGTTACTTGCTATAATTATCCATTTGAATAAGTTTATGTCACTTTCGAGAAAAGTATGCCAATCTTTTATATTTGTTTTTTATTTGTGTACATTTTTATGGACTTAAAGATCCAACAGGTTTCATTTTTATGTTGTTGTCATCACTTTTAAGGATCTAAATAAAATGCTTGTGCATTAATCAAAGGTGTCAAAGGTTGCCTTGTACCATTCATAATTCAAGTTTTCTCACATCCTTCAATTCAATACAAACAAGGCATTAACATATAAAATTTCACCACCCGCCATTTGTACCAGATTCCAACCAACAAATGCCAAACACCAACCACCAAACACCATCCACAAACATATGACATTATGTCATCATTTGAGGTAGTGAGATAAACATTTTACTCATGAGGATGAACATTACAAAACTACAACTTCGTTCATTCTTCCAAACACATGTTATACTGATTTTTAAAATTGTGCAATGCGCATGACGGAAACAAATATTTATGTGTACAGGTAAGTACACTGAACTTTACAGGTAACCAAATTAAACTATAAGTATAGATGTCATGTGAGTATGAAGTTATTGCAATCATTCAAAATAAACTTCAATTTATAAATATAAATACATATTTTATAGCCACATCCACGAATGTGACACTTTTTTCAATTTTACCCAACACTATTAATGGCCTCTGAAACGAATAACTAGGGGTTGATCCCTAGCAAGCTGACACTTAAAGGTGCAACAATTAGTGCAGGTGGCCATTCAACGATCATCGACCAGTGTCAAAATATATTTAAGTTTGGATATTTCATCAAGACTAACATATATTTTTATTATCTCCAAAGAAACCCCCTGGATGAACATTATTTCAGCTGATATTCCTCTTGAAATGTGGTGAATCTTAAAAATCTATAAGTAGGACTCCCTTTATAGGAGCTTTGAACTGAATTTACACTTCTTAATGCTGAAATTGAGAGTTTATCCATACACTTTAATAAAATAGGTATATCAAAGAAGATATTAAGCCAAATATTGACCTGATAGCTCAGAATAAATAAAAAGTTTCGAATTTTCGCTCTACAGTCCTTGTTGCCCCTTTAAATACCCAAGAGTGCAATAAAAAATAATGATTGTACCATATTCTGCGAGAGTGCCCAGTAGGTCCAGAACGGGCTCTTCTCCTTCATTGCCAGGCTCTAAGAGATCCACAACTGTTGACGAAATTCCACTTTCGCTGATCTTCTCCCGACCAAAATCTAGAAAACACAAAGATATTTGCATGGATTTTTAAAATTCATTCATTTGTGTGAATGGTTGGTATGTTGTAAATAAATAAAAATACAAGATTCTATTTTATTTGGGAATGTAATGACATAGACACAATTTAATTTCTTAAGTGTGACTTTTTATTTCAAATTTTTCAAAGAGATGTGAAATAATGGCACATATTGGAATTTTGAGTTTCCTTTCCTTTATCCCATGCATCCTGAAAATGCAAATGTACCTGAATCAAACAAGCTTGCGACTGTCATAAGAGCCATGTGACACACAGCATCATCATTGCGACATTGTTCTAAGTACTGCTTCATAATAGAGACTGCATCCAGATTGATTGCCTTCTCTTGCATACATTCTACAACAGAGACATCTTTTCAAACAGACATCTTTACAAAACATTCTAAAACAAAAAGACACCTTATATGAGCATTCTACAACAGAGACACCTTCATGTGAACATTATGAAGAACTGTGACATCTTTATGATGAATTTTATAACAGAAACATATCAGGTAGTAGCAACACATTGCAAGGTATATTTAGATTATGTTATTGTTTAGCAGCAACATTAATGTAGGAGTACTCCAAACAATGAAATTAAAAAGCTTACCAAAATGTCACTAATGGTTACAAAAGTGTACGAATTTGTTACAGATTCTGCTGCCAAAGCTGACCACCAACTGCCAATGCAGTCACGAAACAATGGGAGCTATGTCAACATGCCAAAACTTCATGGGGGTGTAAAAAATTGTCAGCTTTTCTTGCTCTATAGATTATCATTTGTGACAGTATTACAGACAACAATACCACTCGGTAAATATTTGGTGGCTTGTTCATGTCATAAGTTTTAAATAAGAACTACAGGTATAAAAATTATAATGAATTTTCTGGCAACACTATGCCCATGGAATTAAAGTGAACATAGCAAAATATTTACAATTCTATGAGTAAAAACTGCCGGTCATCTGACTTACTCCTCCATGAGTTATCAAAACCTCCTTAGTGGACACCAGACAATATTCTTATTGATTTTTTCTCAACTTAACATAACAGTAAGCCATTCATCTTACCATTACAATTGGTTAGATTCAGCAAGTAGCCACATGCAATCATTCTTAGCTTATCGGCATCAGTTTGTGTATTTGAGATATGACTAGTGAGGACATCTAAAAGTTTTTTTAACCCTCCATTCTTCTCAACTTCAGTTCTCCCTTCATCTGCAATAGCATGGTTATATTTAAGTGCATGTGTATTGTCAGTGTATTTCAGGTTCATTTTTCAATTGGGTTTTCTATCATTGATAATGGAAATGGGTACTATGGGACACATTAAGATCAATATACATTTTTGTGTTCATTATTCTATTATTTGGGAGATTTTACACATTCAATTTTAACAAGTTGAACAGGAAAGCACATTTTACTGTAGTTTTGATGACGAGATCTATGTAGTGTCCAACTACCCACCCGCAGATGCACACAAGCACACCCAGCACAAAACTATAACTTTACAATAATCCATCCTATTATGTTTATATACTCACCATTATCATAACATATATTTCCTAATGCTCTACACACTTGTATAGAGAGATGTACATTGTCTGTAGACATGAGGCCCACTAGGGGTGGAATGAAGCCTGCCTCTACACATGGCACTCTGGCATACTCTGAAATATAACATAGGGAAATGTAGATTTGTTTCAACGGTTGAAACTGATCATGTATGTGTATCTGGTTTGTATCTTATGCATGGAGACTTTTCCATAATTTTTCGGCATGATGTGGTGTGATTTTTCAATTTCAAATTCCATTTGATCAAAGTTTGCATGCCATTTTTATAACTAATATTGGAATTTTGTCTGGCGGTGCAAAATTCCTGGAGGGAAGATATGTGATATATGCCCACTCATTGATTTGAGCTGGATATATGAGGGTTATTTAATGGATTTTTTGAATATAGGGTATATCCTGGGGGAAATACAATATATCTACCCCAGGGATCCGGGGACTGTATTTCCCGAGGGTTATATTTTGTATCCAAAAGCGAGCATTAAATAACTGATTTATCTATGTACTATTTACAGGGTTTGTATCATTCAGATGATGTTTTAAATTCTGATAGCTTCTTCTTGATAAAAAACAGGTATGGGATAAATAGTATTTATCCTGCTGGCTACTCAGATATGGCATATATTCCTGAGTGTTATCTAGACCACGACAATCTACATATGAAATACTTATCCTAATAACTGGACATGTGACAATGGGTCAGATTTATAATATTGATTCCAGAATATCCTGAACCTCATATATGATAATCTCTATAATTATGTATTAACATCAACAGAGGAAGAATATGCATCCCATGTAGAATTGGCAAATATTACATTCATAACCATCATTTACATACCAGCCTTCGCAAGCTCAGCTATGAGGTGGGAAACTGTTTCCTGGAGTTTGGGCTCTTCATTAAGGAGGAGCAAAAGTTGAGGCAAAACTTTAGCATCATATAATTTCTGTCGTATATCAACCTTCTCTTTATCATCTACAAAAAACCAAAATAAATAGATCACGCTAGATCATGGTTTCGGGATATATGGGTTTTGTTTTTCTTATGATATACACTTAGAGTTTGCTTTTTCTCGCTAGGTTCTATTAAAACTTTTGGTCCTTTCCCTTTATTATATAGATTGTATCTTTATATGATATGATGATAAGTTCAATTGCGACTTTAACATCAAGGGATCCTGGTTGCTATCAATAGACAGATATTTCCTGTCTGAGAGCCTTAAATGGCTTCTGAGAATGATTTATCAATTACCCTTAAAGAACAAAATACCGAAATAATAAGACAATGTTTTGTTTAAGATGATTGCAGGGTGGTATATTCATCCCTCACCATCATTTGTTAGTTTCTCTATGAGAGCATCTAGTGTTGGTCCAATAGTTCCTTTCTCTCCATCAATGTGTAGTTGGGCCACCAGGTTATTAATATCATCTGAAACAATACATATAACAGGTTGTTCCATTATCATCAATCATTGAGATATTAAGGATGTGAAGCACAATAAGATTATACATAGTTTTTGCTTTAATACTTTATCATAAGAACAATGTTATTAGAAATCTCATTCAGCTTTGATAACCTATTTATACTGTGAGATGTCATTAATTCAAAGTAGCCATAGGAATAAAGGTATGTAATACATCAGTTATGTCACTATGAAGTGAAATTTTACATTTTGTTCTTGCCTAAATATAGAAACTCCCAAGGTCGGCTTATGTTGTTGGCACTATTGGCCTATATTTCATGTAATAGTGAAAAACCTCTAATTAAACAAGGATATCAAAATGTGTAGCCTAGGAGTAAGTACTCAAGTTAACTGTAGAATGGAAATTGATTTTGTAAATGGCTCTGAATGGTGATGGATTGTGACCTTGTTAGATTATTTGCCAGCCTTTAATTAGAATCTTGGATTTAGAGAACACGCCACATTCTATTCATTGAAGGTATAACTGTAGATAACCATAAGAACTAGAAGGTCATATTAAACATCTAATAAATGACTGAAAAGATTACTTGAAAAGGTTACTCCAAAAATACTAAAAAATTACTTTTGGAGTAAAAACAAAAAAAAGTAAAATAACCTCCATTTTTCAAAAAAGCCAACTCAAAGAACAAATTAAGACAATACACTGACGAATCAATCTAGTCTATCTGTTATTCAATTCTAAATAATGAGTCTTGCCCCTTATTCTCCCGCACTTCTCTCATGTGATGCATGGGGAATGGGGGCAGATTCATGATCTTGATACCAGACTACCGTATAACATATAAAATCAGTGATGTGATGACGATTCTTTATTTATATTAGGATAAGGGCTGAGGGCCTTCCAGTCATGCCCCAAATGTAAGCCCTCTAATAAGCTAAATTATATCAGTAGTGTAGTACAGTATGTATGAAAGGTTTAGAATTTATTAGATTAATGGGGCAGTTGTCTGAAGCAATATTGATCTTGTACTCAACAGAGCCTCAACTGAATTATAAGAGATGAAATTGAAAGGAAATATCTACTCGTTCTGTATGAAGTGTATCATCTCTAGATGATCTATATTTCAACCAACATCGTTTCCCACGGTCAATCACTATGTTCTACCCATGGGTTCACATGAGAAACTTAAAGGACAACTGAAATAGCTTTTCTCAACTTGCAGCTACAAAAATGTGGTTTTCTCCATTGCGATAGCCATTATAAAATAAATGTTAGATAACTGCTAACGGTCATAGATAACGAAATAAAACTAACTGATCAATGTGACCTGGACAGCTTGCCATACCAATTAGAATTCAGGAAATTTGAATTAAGCCCCTGAATCAGTCACCACCTGCCATTTGTTATAGATACCAGCCGCTGAACTCCAGATGCTAAACACCAACCACCGAACATCATCCACAAATTGGAGACTATAGCAATAGTTGAAATATCTTCCATTGACATCCAATGGCATAATTTCCTGTAGAAAACAATCTAGTAATATTGCAAAATAAGGATTAGATGAGACAAGGAAATATAGTTAATTAGCAAATTGCATGCACATTCCTAATTTAGTTGTCTCTTGGTATTGCCTGCGCCACATCAGGTCATTCTGCACTGCCCTTCCTTCAATACATTGAGAAGATGAAGATTGAAAATTATCCAAAATCAAAGTTACGAGTATTTTTTGCTTCCGAGGAATTCCAAAAATTATTTTATGTTAATTTGATTATGTACGTTGTTGGAAAATAATGTTAAAGCGGGTTAATTCTTCAGGGAAGAGCAGCCGAGACTCCTAATAGAAAACACTAATGCTGTTATTGCCTAAACAGAAGTCTAAACAGAAGTCTATCATATTATATCAGTCCTCTCTGAGCAACAATCCAGTAATTTGCAAATAATGTAGAAATCAATATATTTGTAGACATTGCCAAGTTCTCTTATAGCCTTCACGCTAAGTTCTTCGCCAGCTAAAATGTCACTCGACTTTTTTGTGATTATGAGTCAAAGAAAGCATTCTTGAGTTTCAAATTGACTTCTGTGGTAACTTGAAACCATCTTCTAATTTATTCCACTTACCTTTTATTCTTTCTCCAAATATATTCTTTGAAAATCGGATTTTAAGGGTGTTAATCAGGGTAATTCTGTGCAATTTTATCAAAAATCTTGTTGCTATCTAGAAACGAGCAATTGTGATCTTGTTGTTACCTAGGAACGAGCAATTGTGATGTCACGTCACACTCATGTTAATTCTGGAATCACATGACAGCCATTTTGGAAATTTCAAAAAAGTTCCCAATTAAAAAGGCTAAATGCTGTTCACAAATTGGAAACATCAAAGCCTGATCAAAAAAAAGTCCCAAAAAGAAACAGTCACCCTAAGGCATGGAGTATGTAAACTATTTGAGAAACAAAGTTGAATTAATGATAAAACATTATGACATTAAGACCAAAAAGACTGACTTTGGCATTTGAACTTTAATGCCCCTGCCCCTAATTTTTCACCTATCATCACACTAAAGCATTCTTCCTACCTCAGTTATGTAGAATGTATCATATAGCAGTGAATTAAATGTTAATTAAAATATTACGAGAAAATAAAGACAAGAGATGATGTTTGACGTAAAGTACCACGTCTATTTTTCTACATCTCTTTTACATTCAGCAAATGCCATCTCAGGATTATGAAGTTATAGACAATATAACATATTTATAAGATATTTTGAAATTTGAATTTGGAAACATTATACCATATACATGTATGTGTATATTTCTCAAGAACTTTTTTAAAAATACCCCATCCTTCTTTTACTGAAACACATGTAAAATGAGGTTGACAGATTTATGATTAACAATCAACAATGGGTTAACAATATCGAGATACTTTTTCTACCCATTTTCAAAATAATGAGCATACAAAATAACCCTGACAATATATTTACAATATTTTTAAAAAATATAGATAAAACAATGTGTCTAATATCGACTTCACATCCTGACTGACTTGCTAGACTCAAAATTATAAAACTTAGCTAAAGATCGTGACTGTCATTTACCTTCCAGAAGTTAGTAAACATTCTTAAATATAACTCTATCAGCTTTATGTTGTTGATCATGAAGCATTAGCTCAGTATCTGATAGAAATAAATGTAAAGTGATTTTGAATGTTCCATTTTTCTTTGATATTGTGCTTATGCTCAAAAGTTGACGCAACAAAATCTATGCAGGCGCATAACCAGGGCAGACATCAGTGTTCGAACTTAACTTTTTAGACTGGTAGTGAAAATAGTTACCTGACATTTTTTCTAGGTAACTAAATTCCAAAGTAAGGTAGTTGTTTTTACCGGTTGAGAAAAATTCGATAGACACAGTCAGTTTTCCTTGACACTAAAAACAAGTCTATCGATCTGTTGATCTTAAGTTTATTATTAATTATTATTCCATGATAACATTTGAAACTTCATGCCTTGTTTTCAGAGATAGTACTAAATGCCTATACAAGTAATATAGTGGTGAAGGCCTTCATGGACATCAAATACCAGTATACATGTATGTAGCCCTGGATCAGCATAGTTTACAAAATTGTCATCATAATCATACATGGAACAATCTTCTCCAATCCGTAATAGACACCACAGAAATAAATCAATTCAAGAATGGAATTGATTAGCACCTGATAAGACAAATGTCCGAGCAGAAAATGGCATATTGGAATTTGGCAGAAAAAAACATTCACTCGACTAACAATTACAAGTCTTGATCGAAAAAGAAGTATTTCAGCGCTCCAATACTTGGACGGATTGATGATACTGATGTAAGACACAGTTAGAGACCAAAAGTAAGCCGCGGATCTCATTATTCATGTTTTCAAAGGTCACTATTATTCAGCTGTCCAAGTGCGCTGTGGGAAAGCTATTATATCAAAATCCAAATAGCTTTCGCAGGAAGTAAGTAACATCCCTATGTCTTGTAATAGTACATTGAAGTTTCAAGAGTCAAAAATTCAACCATACTATACATGCGCATTGACTGACCTATAACTGAACTGAACCAGTTCAGACTGCCCTTACTCCTGGACTGTCAAGCAAGATCTGATATTGCAGTTTGAAATTGAATCAATCAGATCAGATCAAATGAATGAGGAAAAATTCTAAATTTTGATTTCATATTCAATCTACAATAGCTCTGTATTCCATGGTCAAAGTGATCCAAGATCATTAATAAATATCGACAAGTACATACTCCAACTAATTTTACTTACCCATTTCTTTGTCCAATTGTAGATTTCTATATAAATTGAAAATAGATAAGCAATTTTGGTTTCTTCAACTATCATTTGCTAACCCGGAAGTGAACTTTGATTGATTGACCTAATTAAAAATCAATGCGCGGAATATATTATTGCAAAATCAATTCTTTATAAACATATTTCAATAATCAAAAATATATTTGAAGCTAATAAAAACAGCATATCTTTGATTTATTGACATATTTATCTTCTTTAATGATAAATGAGTGGGGAATGCATTTCTAATGTGCTAGAACAAAACTAGAAGCGGTGAAAAGGCGTAGTAAGCAATGTGACCTGAATGGGTATTTTTGAAATTGGAATACGACCAACAACGCTGCTGTTTTCAACCTTTCAGTGTGAAAAGTCTCTAAACTAGTTGGAAACAGTTAACAAGAAATATATTATGCTATCTTTATCTGATTAAAGTTGGACTAAGGAGGGTTTAACAGGGCAAACGAAAGTTTTCGGAGTCGGACTTTTTCATTTTAGATATTTCGAAGGTGCTCTTGGCGGGTTTACCAAAATGTCCAACACCGTAATTTTGACAGGAGGATCTCCTTGGGGATTTCGCCTTCAAGGGGGAGCTGAATGCAATCAACCAATACGTATCGCCAAGGTAAGAGATAATTTTTGTTTACCAAAAGTTTGGTGATGATCGGCCAAGGAACCTCGGAGAAAATTGATTGGGAAAAATGTGGAGCATTTTTGAAAAAAAAGTTTTGGAAAAGTTTCAAACTTTTATTTTTTTGCAGAAATGTAAACAGTTCATATATAAATCAGTGTCATGTCTCTCATGTGGAACCTTGGTCCGTATTGCTAATCTTCAATCCACGATGGCTGTCAGGGACACAGACTTGGCATGCCAACTCAGGCTCTTGTATTGCATGTCCAATTCACAAACATTTCAGGAATGTGCTTGTCAATACAGACGAAATACTGCAATTCTGAGGATATTTCTTGTAGTACTGAATGCTCAATTTACCATACCCGTCAATTGAATCACACAGCCATCAATCCAATCACTTGATAAAAGTTTGAGTTATATATTTGATACATGTGCAGGGGCGTAGCCAGCTTTCAGTCAGGGGGGGTGCGATCGCCGAAAATTTTTCAGTTTTCGGTCAGGGGGGGGGTGCGATTTTGCCATAAGCAACACAAAAAATTAAGATTTCTTTTGAATTTTACAAAAATTGATGCAACTTCCTTCAAAATTGAGCTAGAAGCTTCAAATAAAAAGCATTTTGAAGCTCTTTTCTACCTCTATTCAATGGTCATATTTTCAAAGGTAATGGGGGGGGGGGGTGCGATCGCACCCATCGCACCCCCCCCTGGCTACGCCCATGCATGTGTGCAAGACAGTCATAGTTGATGCATCGATTCAGTTGAATCAAATTAAAGAAAATGTCAGTAAATATCATTCTTCAACCATATGGTAATATGCTGTCATAAGTGGCTTTAGTAAGACTAGATCTATTATTCAGGAACAAATGCAAGACTTCTTCTCGTCAGTGTTTTATTCATCTCATTTTATTTCGATATGAACATTGTGGGAGGGGGGGGGGCTTATTTTCAAAGCCCATATGCCGAGCACATATTCCTTATATAATATATCACATACATGTATATCGTCAATAGTTTATTGATTCTCAGTCAGATTTTAAATAGAACATATCCAGACTTGTTGACTTTGACCTATCCAAGTATCACAGTGCCCCAAATAGCATATGTTTATTGAACCTTGGTGCTCAAGTAGATTATAGTAATAGGCTAGCTTTACATGTCCTGAAAGCTGTGTATCATAGAGCATACCTGTGAAAACAAAAATGATCGTACAGAAGTACTTTTGGAAAAGTTATGCTCTGAGAAAATAGGTATTGAGGAAATGATGCATAGCATTTGCCTCATTTTCTTGGAGTACATATGTAATTTAGAAATTTGTGTTCAGAGAAGCAACTGAAGTTTGATATATGATTTGAGAAAAGGGAGATGTTATTATGCAGAATCTTCACACCTCCTTATATTATCTTATTATCTCCCTTGCAAATTATATCAGCTGTATTATTTACATTAGAGGCTGTTATAATTTTTAAGAATCTATCAAGAATTATGACTATTATATTTATAAGAACTGCCATATTTTATAAGAAATGCCATGCTTTATAAGAACTGCTATGTTTTGCAAAAACTAGTTGTTGGTGAATATATTGCAAGTGACCATTGGCAATTTTTAACCAATGTGTCCATTTGGCATTAAAAAGGCTTAAAAAGAATGATTCAAAAGATTCTGAAGTCAAAATAATTATCGGATGAAGTTGTTTATTTCTGAATCACAATTTTTTATTGAAGTTTTTTATTTATTAAACGGTATTTATACATGTGTAAACATTGGATAGGTACATGAATTTCTGCATTTCTAGCAGGTTTTCATTCTATTCTTCATATTTGTTTACTACTAATGTAAAAAGTGACATTCCTTTCAAAAAGTATAAAGTAAAAGTATTTAGTCTACAATGTTAAGAATTGCATTCACTTTTCAGTTTTGAACAAACAATGTTTAATGCACCATCAACCTGTATTTCATTAGTTGAGTGTTAGCAAGTTTACACAGGTTTCAAAAGACATCGTTAACATTTCAGTTTTGGTATCAAATGAAAGACATTTGTTGTCACCATGACCTATATATTACTATTAAACCACAAAATGTTGTTGTGAATTATTGAAAACACAACGCTTTGATTAGAAACACGAAAAGCTTTGTGAGTATATAGCATTCATCATCTCAAATAGCTGCCAATTTTGTTGGTTCTCTTATGAACATAAGATTTGACATTTAAGATGGATGTTATTTTGAAACCCACTTTGACCTTAATAGGGTAAGGAGAAATAAGTTGCAATTTTTTAATTTATTCCAAAATGGTTCTTGACCAAAAGTTGCACGTTTTTCAACTTTGAACTTGTGATGTCACTGTCAATTGATAGGGGAAAATAGAAAACACACTTGTTGCATGTTAAATTCTCATGTTATACCCTTTAAAATGATGCTTTCAACTTCAGTACTCTTTGTGAGAGCTTGATCTATTACTCTTTGCAGGAGCTAGATTTCATCATAGTGTAACTAGTGGAGATTTAGCATATCACTTGTGTTGATGTGGCTTTTGTTTTCATGATCGGCTGACTTACAGACATCATCTATTCCATTACTTCCTTCTTTTAGTCCATGTGTCCCTCCTCTTTTCACGAGATAAAATATATTTTCTGTAGGGCTCAAGATATCATCCACTATCATCCATGCTTGTTTTTATAGTGTATATTATATAAGAATTATGAAATAAATAAATTGAATTGAAATTGAAAATGTTCCTTGTGCATTAAGGTTGTTGTCATTCATTCAAGTAATATATGGAATACAAAATCACACTTCTTGCATGGTTAGGGTTTATTAGGAACATAGGGACTGTCTGTCTACAAGGAAATGCCTTATATATGAATGTTTCATATACAGTTAATATTGTTAGAATATATGTTTTGTTTTCTCTTAAAGAAACAATCCTGTGTTTTCAATTTTACCAAAACATGTCATAAAAATTAACATCCATAGAACAAATTGCTAAGCTGGTTTTTACAGATTTCACAGTATGAACTCTAAGTGTGGGTGTTTCTTCTCAGACTTGGTCATTAACGTGATATAAAAAACAGCAATGGTTAAGTTTAAGAGCTAAGTTCTGTTTATGACCTGGTGCCATATATATCAGAAAACATTTCTCCAGAACACTGAATGTTTTAGGTTTTAACACTTTGTGTTTAGTTGTCATGTATGATGGAGCAAACGACTGTCAAAGAAAATCAAAGAAAATGCAATTAAAGAACCTCAGTGTATGGTTCCATTGTCATATTTGAATAAAATCCATTTAGATGTTTGGTATATGAATCATTACTTATGTATAGTAGCCTGGCCAGAACAAGTCATGCCTCTTTATTTTCTCAATAACTTTCTCAATTTTGAATATTTTTTCATGAAATTTTCACAGAATAAACTTTAAAGAATTCCTAACATACAAATATTTTTATATGGTAAGTGCCTCATCAATTTCATTGTTACAACCTTTTAAAAAATAATGTCATATTCTGTTGATGGGTCATTTTTGTCGCCATTTTTTCTAAAAAGATACGAAAAATCTAAATTACGTTTTGTCCTAATATGGTCTACAAATTTGATTGCAGTCTTTTATAGGGGATCATTTATCTTTTTTAGTGTTCTAAATCCACCATACTATTTCAAGACCTCATGATCTCAAGCCTCTATACTGCTCGTCCCATAAAATGCATTACTACACGCCTATTGTCATACTTGATGGAGATAAAAGATGCTTTCAAATGGTGACAAAAATGACCCATCAACAGAATATGACATTATTTTTTAAAAGGTTATAACAATGAAATTAATGAGGCATTTACCATATAAAAAAATTTGTATGTTAGGATTTCTTTAAAGTTTATTCTGTGAAAATTTCATGAAAAAATATTCAAAATTGAGAAAGTTATTGAGAAAATAGAGAGGCATGACTTGTTCTGGCCAGGCTACTATGTATTATTACCTTTTTGAGAAGTATGGTTCAAATAAACTTTCATGTATTGTTGTCAAAAATAGACAGGTCACATTTTGCATATGTTAATATATTTCTGTTATGTACACAGAATACTGATTTTTCTGGAATCATGAATTTGTCGTCTCATCTTATACTGCAATCTTAAGAGAAAATGGTGGATACAATGGGTTTGATGCAAGACTAAATTTATACTACATTTTACTTTACTTTACTTGTTTATTGTATCTGGCTATGTGCCAGCAACTGATGGTTTAGTCTTTTAATTGATATTAATTAGTTACTATTACTGACTTCACACATATTTGTTGTTAAGTTTGCATAAGTCCTGTGTAATAGACCAATGATCAATGTACCCTGCAAAACTTTAATGATAACCATTGAAATCATCTTCCTTTTGAAAACAAGATTTGACATTTTTTAGCAAACATTTCAAAATTTGCTATGTGGTTGGAGCATCATGTTCTTTAACATTTTCCTTGTTTTTCCTATCTGTTTTTTAAACATGAATTAGCAATAAAGGTTATGTTTTATATAAAAGGATGAGGAACCTGTTTAATGCCCCGGGTCTGTAGCCAACTCACCAAAGTTCATCACTTAGTAGTTTAATTCAGTGCATATTTTGAACATTTTAGATACATGTATTTTTTCCAAATAAACATCAAGGATGCGTCATTTCAAATCGACGCAGAACTTATACATGTGGATGGCTTCGTAGGAAAAATAAGTCAGTGACCTTCATTAGCAGGTGTCTCAGATCGACACATTTCGCCCATTAACCTGTACATATCTCTGAGGGATAACTGATATTATGAATATAAATTTTCTTGATGTTTGAACAAATGTTTATTTTCCAATCCAGTAAAACTTCAAGCTTCTGTTTGTTTACTTAAAATACACAAGTTTTGTATTTCATTTCCAATAAACAAAGGTGGTGTTGTTAATCAATACCTTTACATGGTAAATAGTTCCTTTTTAAGACCCTGGAGTCTGTTAGTCCAGGGACCAAGTC